CCCAGCTACTCAGGAGGCTGAGGCAGGAGAATGGCGTGAACCCAGAAGGCGGAGCTTGCAGTGAGCCCAGATCTCACCACTGCACTCCAGCCTGGGCGACAGAGCAAGACTCCGTCTCAAAAAAAAAAAAAAAAAAAAAAGGTTGACTCTGAGCTGGACATGGTGGTGCAGAACCTGCAGTTCCAGCTACTTGAGAGGCTGAACTGGAAGGATCACTTGAGCCCAAGAGTTCAAGGCTGTAGTGCGCTATGACCGCACCTGCAAATAGCCATTGTACTCTAGCCTAGACAACGTAGCAAGACACCACTTCTTAATTTAAAACAAGCAAACAAACAACAACAACATAAAGAAAGGATCACTCTGGATACTCTGTTGAGAATATTCTGCAGGGGGCAGTGGCAGAAGCAGAGAGGCCATTTAGGAAAGCCAGTAGTAACTGAGCACGTGGGCAAGTAAGAAAGGGCGCTGAAAGGAGAAGAGCACTCAGAGCAGTCTGGAGTGAGACTGAAGCAGGAAAACCAGCCACACAATTCCTGCAGGAATGTGGCTGAAAAGCAATGAGATCTAAGCCAGCCTAAGGCACCAGGAGTAGAAAAATGCAGACAGGGCTGAAGTACATCCAGAAGGCACAATCTACATGACAGTGATGGGAAGGCGACCAGAATGATGGAGAAGGACACATCTGACTCAAGCGAAAAGGTATCTGAAAGTGCCATGCAGAGAGAGAGAGGGCTCCCTGTCTCTCCAGGACATAACTGCATTTTTTTCCCTCATCAGTCACACAGGACAGAAAGCCCTACTTTCCTCATGAGGCTAGCAACCTATCCACCTAGTTGCTCAAGCCAGAAACCTGAGAGTCGTCCTTGTCACCGCTCACTTTCTCAGCCCCATAACCAACCCACCGCAATAACTCTTTCATGTGTCTTCTCATCACCTGCACTACCAGCACCTATATCCAAGCCACAGGCCTCTCACCTTCCACTCTTGCCCTTCCCCAGTTCACTCCTTACTCAAGGCAGGATTGCACTTTCTAAAATGTAAACTGGACTGTGCCCTGGCTCAAAATTTGTCAGTAGCTTCCCATTGCCTTTAGGCTACAAAATACTGCCTCATCTGAGCCCTGCTTACCTCTTCCTTTTGCTCCCTAACTAGTCCCACCCTGCAGAAAGCACCTGGCACATAATAAACATTCAACACGTGTTTGCCGAATGAAGGAAGGCACTGTTTAACTTGTCAGTGAACTAACTGCCCCAGAAGCCACAGGCTGTGGACCACATGGACAAAAGCTTTCAGGTCCACCCTGCAGGGCTGTTCTGCTATGCAAGACTGGAACACAGCTCACTCTAACTGGGAATGCTTATGGCAGGGGCCTTGACCACAAACAGAAGGCAGACACGTTCAGCTAATTATCACCTGCCAGACTATTTGGCAGCTTGGGCTGCAGAGGTGGGAGCCTGAGGCTGAATACTGACCTCTTCAGCATTCTCCAAGTCATCTAGCCCTTCATCCTCTTCCACATCATCAAAGTCGTCACCATCAAAACTGTACAGGAAGAAGAGATCAGTTACTTAGAGCATCACTTACAAGAATCAAAGAGGGGCCAGGTATGGTGACTCACACTGGTAATCCTGGTACTCTGGGAGACCGAAGTGTGTGGATCACTTGAGGCCAGGAATTCGAGACCAGCCTGGCCAATGTGGCAAAACCCCGTCTCTACTAAAAATACAAAAATTAGCCAGGCATGGTGGCACATGTCCGTAATACCAGCTACTCGGGAGGTTGAGTCACAAGAATTGCTTGAACCCAGGAGGTGGAGATTGCAGTGAGCCAAGATTGCACTGCTGCACTCCAGCATGGGTGACAGAACAAGAACCTGTCTCAAAGTAAATAAAATAAGAAAAATTAAAAATAAAAATCAGAGGCCAGGCGTGGTGGCTCTGGGATTAAGCCTGTAATCCCAGCACTTTGGGAGACCAACGCGGGCAGAGTTCAAGGCCAGCCTGACCAACATAGTGAAACCCCGTTTCTACTAAAAATACAAAATTAGCTGGGAGTGGTGGCACACGCCTGTAATCCCAGTTACTTGGGAGGCTGAGGCAGGAGAATCACCTGAACCCAGGAGGCAGATGTTGTGGTGAGCTGAGATCACGCCATTGCACTCCGAGCAGCTTGGGCAACAAGAGCGAAACTCCATCTCAAAAAAAAAACCAAAAAAAACAAAACAAAACAAAAAAATCAAAGAGGGCAGAGATCTGTGTCTCTCCCAGTATGTAAGAAGCACTCAAATATTTACTTGATAAGTAAATCAGCCAGGCGCAGTGACTCACGTCTGTAATCCCAGCACTTTGGGAGGCCGAGGCGGGTGCATCACCTGAGGTCAGGAGTTCGAGACCAGCCTGGCCAACATGGAGAAATCCCATCTCTACTAAAAACACAAAAAAATTAGCCGGGCGTGGTGGCAGGCGCCTGTAATCCCAGCTACTCAGGAGGCTGAGGCAAGAGAATTGCTTGAACCCGAAAGGCAGAGGTTGCAGTGAGCCAAGGTCACCCCACTGCACTGCAGCCTGGATGACACAGCGAGACTCCTTCTCAAAAAAAAAGAATACTGGCCGGGTGCGGTGGCTCAAGCCTGTAATCCCAGCACTTTGGGAGGCCGAGACGGGCGGATCAGAAGGTCAGGAGATCGAGACCATCCTGGCTAATCCAGTGAAACCCCGTCTCTACTAAAAACTACAAAAAACTAGCCGGGCGAGGTGGCGGGTACCTGTAGTCCCAGCTACTCGGGAGGCTGAGGCAGGAGAATGGCGTGAACCCAGGAGGCGGAGCTTGCAGTGAGGTGAGATCCCGCCACTGCACTCCAGCCTGGGAGACAGAGTGAGACTCCGTCTCAAAAAAAAAAAAAAAAGAATACTAAGTAAATCCGACTTTTGTTCCATTTTACTCCTTTAATTTTTCCCCATCTGCCCCCAAATTTCGCTAGGACTCATTCGTCATCACTGTTTCCCTCTCTACTAGATCATTCCCATCAGCATTTTTATTTTATTTTATTTTATTTTTGAGACAAAGTCTAGCTCTGTCACCCAGGCTGGAGTGCAATGCCACGATCTTGGCTCACCGCAACCTCCGCCTCCCAGGTTCAAGCAATTCTCCTGTCTCAGTCTCCCGAGTAGCTGGATTATAGGCACATGCCACCATGCCCAGCTAATTTTTGTATTTTTAGTAAAGATGGGGTTTCCCCATGTTGACTAGGCTGATCTCGAACTCCTGACCTCAGGTCATCCACCCTCCTTGGCCTCCCAAAGTGCTGGGATTACAGGTACTGGCCCCATCAGCATTTCAACATGTGCTTTTCCTCATGTAAAACTAAAACAAAAACAAACAAAAAACCTTACTTCTCTTCTCCCTCCCCCATAGCCCTAATTCCAAGGTGCCCTTTGAAGCAAAAATGTGTGAAAGAGCTGTCCACCCTCACTGCCCCCAATTCCTCTATTCCCATTTTGTCATAATCTCACTCCCAAAAGCCTTTCACCGCGATAGCTCCATCAAAACCACTTTCCAAGCTCATTAATGATCTCCACGTTGCTAAATCCAATGGCCAACTCTCATTCTCATTTAGCCTGATCTATCAGCTGGCACATTAGGCCACTTGCTCTCCTCACTTGACTCCAACAACACCTCACTTTCTTGGTGCTCCCCCCACCTCCCCGGCTTCTCTTTTCCTCCAAGCACTCAATGTCCAAATGCCCTAATGCTCAGCCACGGGTCATCTCCTCTTCTCTACTGACACTCACTAGGAATGCGGTAGCGATCCCACGCGTATCTTATTTTTATCTTCAGACTAGCTCTCTTTGCGCCCACACATCCAACAGGTAATTTTTTGGCTCTATCTTTAAAATAGTAATATATCCAGAATTCAAAACCAGTTCTCACCATCTCTACTCCTACTGACTTCTTTCACCTAGATTACTACAAACAGGCCGGGCACGGTGGCTCACGCCTGTAATCCCAGCACTTTGGGAAGCCGAGGTGGGTGGATCACTTGAGGTCAGGAGTTCGAGACCAGTTTGGCCAACATGGTGAAACCCGTCTCTACTAAAAATACAATTAGCCAGGTATGGTGGTGCACGCCTATAATCCCAGCTACTCGGGAGGCTGAGGCAGGAGAACCCCTTGAACCCGGGAGGCAGAGGCTGCAGTAAGCCGAGATCATAAGCCGAGATCGCGCCACTGCACTCCAGCCTGGGCGACAGAACGAAACTCCGTCTCAAGAAAAAACAAAAAAATTACTGCAATGAACAGTCTCAGACTTTTATTTAATGCCACCCGGGGAGCTGCCCAAGACCCTCCTGTGGAGTACTCCTACACTACGTACTTCTAGAACTGTGAAGAACTTCTAGAACTACGTACTTCACAGAAGCAGATGGAGAACTGGGGAAGCTCACGCGACCACCATTACCTGCTTGCTTGCTTGCTTACTTATGGGCCTATGCCGCCTATTCTACAAAGTGAGCACGTGGAGAGGCAAGGACGATTCTTCTTTCACCTCAGTATTCCCACTGCATGACACAGAGCCCGGCTCGCTGGAACATTTGCTGAAGGACACCTTTTCCACGGATCCCCTCTAGACCCTCGAGCCTGGGCCCTCCTGTGCCCAGCCTCCAGCCCGGGCTATGCTCCTGGGTCCCCGCCCTTCCCTTCCTAGGCTCCGCCGGCCCCCTCAGGACCCCAGGCCCCTCAGACATTGCCCCTAGACGCCAGGTCCCTCAGCTGCCTTCGACCCAAGCCCTGCCTCACCCGCCCCTTCCGAATATGCCGCAAAGGCCACTCCGCTCCCGCACTCACTTGTCCTCGTTGTCTGACATGACACCCTCGCCTCAGGGACCCCGCTGCGTCCCAGTCCCGCACGGAGACCCGCAAATAGCGCCTCTACAACTCGCGGCGCCTCCCTTATCTTGCGCCTGCGCGGTAACCCAGAGGCAATCACTTCCGGGAGGCAGGCCAGAGAGGGGAAGTGCGCATGCGCTGACTCGTGAGTGCGCGTTTCTATGGTAGCCAGAGTCGCTAGCTGCCAGCTCCAGCAGCCCGGATCGCGTAGTATTTCTGCGTGGCACCGGTGCTGGTGCGGCTGTAAAGCACTGGTCAGTGGTCACCGCCTCCGGGAGCCCACTTGTATGTGCAGAGGGGAGCACCCAGAGTGGGTCTTAGGGTGAAATTTCAATTTTGGCATATCACCCAGTGGGTACGGTTGTGACCATGGCTATATTAACACTCCCTTCCCGAGGGGACTTCCCTGCCACAGGCGCTGGGTCAGAATGAGGACTCTGTGTGTGTACCTGTCTGTGTCTGGGTGGGAGGTTTAGGCACTGTCACAATATTAACTGGCGGCATCATTCTCTGGCTCGATCTCCGCTTCCAGACTTCTGGGGATGTTGGGCATGGGGGAACAGAGATTAGGAATAGGAGACAGGGGGTGTGTCATTGCGTCTTTCCCTCCTCAGGGTCCTCCCATGGCTTCACAGAAGCAGATGGAGGTAGTGACCAAAGGAACTGGGTTCCGGCGCCGCCCCAAGACGACCACTTACACCCCGGGGACCTGCGAGCTGCTCAGAGGTCAGTGCGTTAAAGCAGCGATCCCCAGCCTTTTTGGCACCAGGGACCGGTTTCGTGGAAGGAAATTTTTCCACTGACGGGGGTGTGGGGAATGGTTTCGGGATGAAACTGTTCACCTCAGATCATCAGATATTAGTTAGATTCTCATAAGAAAAGCGTGCAACCTAGATCCCTCGCGTGCGTAGTTCACAATAGGGTTCGCGCTCCTATGAGAATCTAAGGCCGCCACTGACCTGAAAGGAGGCGGTGAGACTTGCTAGCCCGCCGCTAACCTCTTGCTGTGCGGCCCGGTTCCTAACAGGCCAGGGACTGGTACCAGTCCACTGACGGGAGGTTGGGGACCCCTGAGTTAAAGGATGAGAGAAGAATGGTGGTAGTTACCCTCTGTAACTGAGTTCCCCCGTACCTGACCTGTGGCTTAGCAATTGCTATTTTCCTTTACAGATAAGGAGCCTGGGGTTCAGAAAGCTTCAAAGTTCTACTGCATATGCCTTAGGCGGGGAGAGGAGGGGGAGGTTCAAGGTGCTACAGCTTGCCAAAAGTCAAAGAACTAAAGTTTTTAGAGTAGTTAACTCCTATGCATCCTTTAGATCACACTTTCAACTTTCCCGAGGAAGATCTCTCCTCCTTACCACCACAGTAGGATCAGCTGTTATGCACCCTCACACATTTTCCTTCACTGGGGTTAGCACAAGCTGTAGTCAGTTATTTATCTGCCTGCGGCCCAGGAGGCCTCACAGAATGCTTTGTCGTGCAGTGATGATGAAGGAATCCAAACTGACGAACATCCAGCAGCGCCACATCATGGACATCATGAAAAGTAAGGGGCAATCCACAGAGCCTTCCTGGCCAGAGGGGATCTGGGGCCACGTTCTTCTTTTTTTTTTTTTTTTTTTTTTTTTGAGACTGAGTCTTGCCCTGTTGCCCAGGCTGCAGTGTAGTGGCGCGATCTCGGCGCACTGCAAGCTCCACCTCCCGGGTTCACGCCATTCTCCTGCCTCAGCCTCCCGTGTAGCTGGGACTACAGGTGTCTGCCACCACACCCGGCTAATTTTTTTTTTTTTTTTTTTTTTTTTTTTTTTTGAGACGGAGTCTCGCTCTGTCGCCCAGGCTGGAGTGCAGTGGCCGGATCTCAGCTCACTGCAAGCTCCGCCTCCCGGGTTCGGGCCATTCTCCTGTCTCAGCCTCCTGAGTAGCTGGGACTACAGGCGCCCGCCACCTCACCCGGCTAGTTTTTTGTATTTTTTAGTAGAGACGGGGTTTCACCGTGTTAGCCAGGATGGTCTCGATCTCCTGACCTAGTGATCCGCCCGTCTCGGCCTCCCAAAGTGCTGGGATTACAGGCTTGAGCCACCGCGCCCGGCCAATTTTTTGTATTTTTTAGTACAGACGGGGTTTCACCGTGTTAACCAGGATGGCCTCGATCTCCTGACCTTGTGATCCGCCCACCTTGGCCTCCCAAAGTGCTGGGATTACAGGTGTGAGCCACCGTGCCTGGCCTGGGGCCACATTCTTATTTTTTTTTATTTTTTATTTTTTTTTAATTTATTTTTTTTTGGAGACGGAGTCTCGCTCTGTCGCCCAGGCTGGAGTGCAGTGGCCGGATCTCAGCTCACTGCAAGCTCCGCCTCCCGGGTCTACGCCATTCTCCTGCCTCAGCCTCCCGAGTAGCTGGGACTACAGGCACCCGCCACCTCGCCTGGCTAGTTTTTTGTATTTTTTAGTAGAGACGGGGTTTCACTGTGTTAGCCAGGATGGTCTCGATCTCCTGACCTCGTGATCCGCCCGTCTCGGCCTCCCAAAGTGCTGGGATTACAGGCTTGAGCCACCGCGCCCGGCCAGGGGGCCACATTCTTAATGCTTCTGCATGTTAAGGGAGAGAGGACCTCATATAAAAAAAAAAAACAGCTGGGCACGTGGCTCATGCTGGTAATTCCAACACTTTGGGAAGCCGAGGTGGGAGGATGGCTTGAGCCCAGGAGTTCAAGACCAGCCTGGGCAACACCGCAAGACCTTATCTCCACAAAAATTTTTTTTTTTTTTTGAGATGGAATCTCACTCTGTCACCCAGGCTGGAGTGCAGCGGCATGATCTCGGCTGACTACAACCTCCACCTCCTGGGTTCAAGCAATTCTCCTGCCTCAGCCTCCTGAGTAGCTGGGATTACAGGCATGCGCCACCACACCTGGCTTAATTTTTGTATTTTTAGTAGAGATGGGGTTTCACCATGTTGGCCAGGCTGGTCTCAAACTCCTGACCTCATGATCTGCCCGCCTCGGCCCCCCAAAGTGCTGGGATTCCAGGTGTCAGCCACCACACCCAGCCCCCAAAATTTTTTAAAATTAGCCAGGTGTGGTGGTGCACACCTGTAGTCCCAGCTACTCAGGAGGTTGAGGTGGGAGGATCACTTGACCCTGGGAGGTCAAGGCTGCAATGAGCTGTGATTGCACCACTGCACTCCAGCCAGGCAACTGAGGGGAACCTGCTCTCAAAATTAAAATAAAATAAAATAAAATAATAATAAAATAAAATAAAATATAAAATAAAATATAAAATAAAATAAAATATAAAAACAGGTCAGGCTGGGTGTGGGAGCTCACACCTGTAATCCCAACACTTTGGGAGGCCAAGACAGGCAGATCACCTGAGGTCAAGACCAGCCTGGCCAACATGGTAAAATGCTGTCTCTACAAAAATACAAAAATTAGCTGGGCATGATGGCAGGTGCCTGTAATACCAGCTACCCAAGACGCTGAGGCAGGAGAATCACTTGAACCTGGGAGGCAGAGGCTGCAGTGAGCTGAGACCACACCACTGAAGACTCCATCTCAAAAATAAAAAATAAAAAATATAAAAACAGGTTAGGTGTGGTGGCTCATACCTATAATCCTATCACTTTGGGAGGCTAAGACAGAAGGATTGCTCAAGCCCAGGAGTTCATGACCAGCCTGGGCAAAACACATACATACTGGGCTGTACCTGTAGTCCCAGATAGTCAGGAAGCTGAGGCAGGAGGATCACATGAGCCCTGGAGTTCAAGGCCAGCCGGGGCAACACAGCAAAACCTCTCTCTACAACAACATTTTTGGGTGTGTGACCAAAAAAATTAGTATTCCTGACCCCTTGCTCCTGGGGAATTGATCTTGTAGAGGTTGGATGAGCAGAAAAGGTAGACAGGCACAGATCAAAACAGTGGATGGGCCAGGTGTGGTGGCTCATGCCTGTAACCCCAGCACTTTGGGAGGCTGAGGCGGGCAGATCACCCAAAGTAAGGAGTTCAAGACCACCCTGGCCAACATGGTGAAACTCCATCCCTACTAAAAATATAAAAATTAGCCAGGTGTGGTGACCCGGGCCTGTAGTCCCAGCTACTTGGGAAGCTGAAGCAGGAGAATAGATTGAACCTGGGAGACGGAGGTTGCAATGAGCCAAGATCATGCCATCGCACTCCAGCCTGGGTGACAAGAACAAAACTCTGTCTCAAAAAAACAAAAAAAATTAGCCAGGCATGGTGGCACACACCATAATCCCAGCTACTCAGGAGACTGAGGCACAAGAATGCTTGTACCCAGGAGATGTAGGTTGCAGAGAACCAAGATCACGCCCCTACACTCCAGCCTGGGCAACAGAGGGAGACTCTGTCTCAAAAAAAAAAACAATGGATGGGACCTGCTCTAAGCTGGGCTTTATGGTAGTTGAGAGGTGGAGTCAACCGACCAGACAGGTGACATATTTGGATGGCCTGGGGGAGAAGCCCCAGGGATGGCCAAGCAGGGGGATGGACCACAGGAAGGATAGGTACCTATCGTCCGAACTGTCCCTCCTTATCCATGGAGCATACAGAAAGCTTTAGAAACCCATCCATAGAAATTAAAGCACCAGTACAAAGATTTGATGTACAAGAATGTTTATTGCAGCATTGTTTGAAGTAGTAAAAAACAAACCTAGAAATAACCTGAATTTCTGAAACTAGGAGGTGTGCTGAATAATGTATCCATTCTAAGGATACTAGTATATAGCTATAAAAAATAAGTTACATATAAATGGAGTGATCTGAACAGATGTCTATGAAAAAATGTGAAGTGAAAAGTCTGTTATTTTAATATATTACAGTATGATCCAGTGTTTGAAAGAATCTTATATGCACATATAAAATATATACACATATATCTCTGAACATGTTTGTATAACCATCAAAAAGGAAAGAGACCACCAAACTGTTACCATCATCACTCATTCATTATAGAGCGGTGGGATTGGAAGGAAGAAGACAAGATTCCTTGTACTGTTTGACTTGTTTTGTTTTGTTTTTTGAGACAGAGTCTCCCTCTGTTGCCCAGGCTGGAGTGCAGTGGCTCAATCTCGGCTCACTGCAACTTCCGCCTCCTAGCGATTCTCCTGCCTCAGCCTTCCTAGTATCTAGGATTACAGGCATGCATCACCATGTCCAGCTAATTTTTATTTTTTGGGTTTTTTTTTTTTTTGAGACAGTCTTGCTCAGTCACCCAGGCTGGAGTACAATGATGCAATCTTGGCTCACCGCAACCTCTGCCTCCTGGGTTCAAGTGATTCTCCCACCTCAGCCTCCTGAGTAGCTGGGACTACTGATGCCTGCCACCACGCCTGGCTAATTTTTTGTATTTTTAGTGGAGACGGGGTTTCACCGTGTTAGCCAGGGTGGTCTCAAACTCCTGACCTCAGGTGATCACCCATCTCGGCCTCCCAAAGTGCTGGGATTACAGGCGTAAGTCACCGTGCCCAGCCAACTTTTATTTTTAAAAAGTGGCCGGGTGTAATAGCTCATGCCTATATTCCTAGCACTTTGGAAAGCTGACGTGGGTGGATCACTTGAGGTCAGGAGTTCAAGACCAGCCTGGCCAACATGGCCCGTCTCTACTAAAAATGCAAAAATTAGCTGAGCATGGTGGCACATGCCTGTAATTCCAGTTACTTGGGAGACTGAAGCAGGAGAATCGCTTGAACCTAGGAGGCGAAGGTTGCAGTAAGCTGAGATTGCGCCACTGCACTCCAGCCTGAGTGACAGAGCAAGACTCAGACTCAAAAAAAAAAAAAAAAAAGCCATGTGGGTCCTCCCACCCCCACTCTTCATTCCCCAGGAGGAGATGCTTTGCCCCTACAGTGCAGCCTAACATCCAGCCAGAGGGTCTTACCTTCCAAGCAAATAGCCTCGCCTATCTACCTGCCTCCCATCCTCGCAGCCCGTCCCCACCTCCGGCCTGCCAACATGTGCCAAGCCAATGGGGCCTACAGCCGGGAGCAGTTCAAGCCTCAAGCCACCAGTAAGTAAGGGTCTCGGCCTTTCCCCATCTCCCTGGGGGAGGACGGGGGAGAGGGACGCAAGCAGTGGGAAGGTTGCTAATCACATCCCCATGCACCTTGTACCGATGCTCTTGAGCCTCAGCACATGTTAGCTTAGGGGTATTCAGGGCGCAGAGGAAACCAGTCAGATGGTCCTCTTTTTTTATTTTTCCAGAACTCACGATTAGCTGGAATCTACCAATTCCTGATTTTAGGGGCTATCAGGGCTCAAGGCCACAGCCCAACCTCTCCCTGCAGCCCCTACACATAGGTTGCCACTACAGGCATCGCCAAGGCCCCAGGTTCCTGAGCTTTCTTAGCCTTGCTCTGCACCTTTCAAAGCAGTGTGTGGGTTTTGACAAAACTTCTTTTTTTTTTTTGGAGATAGAGTCTCACTCTGTGCCCAGGTTGGAGTGCAGTGGTGCTATCTTGGCTCACTGCAACCTCCACCTCCTGGGTTCAAGCAAGTCTCATGTCAGCCTCCTGAGTAGCTGGGATTACAGGTGTCCACCACCATGTCCAGTTAATTTTTATATTTTTAGTAGAGATGGGGTTTCACCATGTTGGCCAGGCTGGTCTTGAACTCCTGGCCTCAGGTGATCCGCCCACCTTGGCCTCCCAAATGCTTGGACTACAGGTGTGAGCCACCGTGCCCGGACTCTTTTTCTTTTTTTTTTTTTAAGAGATGGGATATTGGCCCGGCGTGATGGCTCATGCCTGTAATTCCAGCACTTTGGGAGGCCAAGGCTGGCAGATTGCTTGAGCTCACGTGTTTGCGACCTGCCTGGGCAACGTGGCAAAACTCCATCTCTACTAAAAAAAAAAAAAAAAAAATACAAAAATTAGCTGGGCACGATGATGTCCACCTGTAGTCCCAGCTACTCGGAAGGCTGAGATGGGAAGATGGCTTGAGCCCGGGAGGTTGCAGTGAGTCGAAATTATGTCACTGCACTCCAATCTGGGCAACAGAGTCAGACCTTGTCTCAAAAAAAAAAAAAAAAAAAGAAAGAAAGAAAAAAGAAAAGAAAAAGAAAAAAAAGAGATGGGGGTTTCACTACATCCATTAGGCTGGTCTTGAACTCCCGGTCTTAAGTGATCCTGCCACCTCAGCCTCCCAAAGTGTTGGAATTACAGAACATACCCAGAGTCTTTTCTTGGTTCTTTCAACCTCTTTCTGCCTCTCTTGACAGTACAGTATTGCTCAGGAGAACCCAGGGTAGGAGCCAGGTGTACAGAAGCCCTGTCTGCATGACCAGGCACCCTGCAGCAAGCGCGTGCACTTGGGAACGCAGACCATGAATGAGGGCACCCTTCGCGGCCTAACTAGGCCATTTCTTTTTGGCCCTACAGGAGATCTGGAGAAGGAGAAACAAAGACTCCAAAATATCTTTGCCATGGGGAAGGACCCAGAGGAACGGAAAAGAAAGGCCCCTCCTGCACGACAGGAGGCTCCAGCCCCTGAGCAAGACCGATTTGAAGAGTGTAAGGCTCCGATGGACCAGTCATGCTGGGGGTGGGGGTAATGTGAGGAGGGGGCCCAGAATTGGATGCAGCAGTCAGGGGATCCCTGGGGGTCAACAAGTGAGAAACACTATTTATTTAATATATTTATTTTGAGACAGTCTCGCTCTTATTGTCCAGGCTAGAGTGCAGTGGCATGATCGGGGCTCACTGCAGCCTCCACCTCCCAGGTTCAAGCGATCCTCCTGCCTCAGCCACCTGAGTAGCTGGGATTACAGGTGTGCGCCACCACGCCTGGCTAATTTTTGTATTTTTAGTAGACAAGGGGTCACCATGTTGGTCAGGCTGATCTCAAACTCCTGACCTCATGATCCACCCGCCTCGGCCTCCTAAAGTGCTGGGATTATAGGCACGGGTCACCGTGCCCGGCCTAGAAACACTATTTGACAATAGAACCACTTCTTCTCCTCAAGAGAGGCAACCTGCTGCCGGCATCTGTCACGGGAGCCTGACAGCCCTCTCCTCTGTCCAGTGGTGAAGGAAATCCAGGAGAGGAAAGAATTCCTGACTGACATGGAGGCCCTGGGACAGGGCAAACAGTACCGAGGAATTATCCTTGCTGAAATATCCCAGGTAGGAGAAACAACCGGGGAAGCGGGGAGGGGAAGGGCCCAGAGCAAGTGTGAATGGAAATACAGGGCCAGCTGTGGCAGGGTTCAGGGGTCAAGCTCTAGCTCACTGCTGTGACGGTTCCTCGGGTTCCTAGCCCTGATATACCCACTTTCCCTGATGCCCTTTGCAGAAACTCCGGGAAATGGAAGACATTGACCGCAGGAGGAGTGAGGAACTTAGGAAGGCTCTTGCCACCACTTAATCTGTCTCCAGAGATAGGCAGCATAGCCCAAGCTCGACCACTGGAGTCCACTCCTCTGCCAGGCAGGGCCATCCTCAGGCCAACCCACCCTACCAGCCTTCAGCCACGTTAGATGGTAGCACAGCACTGCCCTGCAGTACCCCACGGCATACTCAGCAGCCTAGCCCCTGCCCAGGAATGCCACTGGAGCCCGAGACCACAGCCCCATACACAGAGGAGTAAGACCTGAGCATCCCTAATAGGACGTGTATCTAAAGGTATCCACTGGGCGTGCTTCCTACCACCTCCAGCCTGTGGCCTGTTCATTTGGTTTTCTGAATTCAGGAATGAAAATGATTCCTTTCTTTCTGTTTTAGGATTTACTTATTTGATTTCTTACCGCCTTAGGCAAGTATTCAATCACAATGATTAACTGGCCAATAAAACATATTGAACGTGGGTCATTACAAGCACCATTTTGTTTTCAGAGGGATAAGCTTATTTGTTCAAGGCGTTAGAATTTGTCAAGCACAGATGGTTTCCAGCTACCTGTTTGCATATTTCAAGTGGCAATGAGAGCCAACCTCTTGGGCACCCCATGGCTGGCTGCTGTGGCAGGTGCTGAATTCCACTCTGTTAATGATCTCAATAAACCTCTGCAATGGTTCATTATTCCTCTGTGAAAACTAGGTCTTAATGAGATACCACAGGCAAGGGCATCTACCTGGCAAGCAGTGTACTCGGGATTCAAAGCTGACTTTAGCTTTATGTCTTTCCACTATACCCATGGCCACAGAAAGAAACACGAAAGGGTGGGAGGGACCTAGAGCCCTGGCCTGGAAGTTCCAATCCCAGCATGTGCTGTGTGACCTTTCTTGGGCAAAACCCAGCAGCTCCGTGCTTGTGCATCTGTGAGGCCCTGCTGGGAAGGAGCCACCCGACACCGTGTCCTGTACACAGCACATCTGTCCCCTCCCCTCTAGTTCCTGATACCCATGATCCCTACCTTCTCCAGTATTCTGTCAGTTGCCTGTCCCAGTAAATCACCAGAATATTTTGGAAATATCAACCCTGTCTCGGGCACCTGGAGGGAGTCTCATAATCCTATCAGGCCACATGACCCAAGTTTTGGTTTGCAGAATAAACACGGCCCTGAAGTGGTGAGGCCCCGATCAAGGGCGGGCTCAGGGACGTTCCTCGGAAAGCCTCTGTGTCCACACACCCTCAAGAACCTGAGGGCAGAGGGTGCACCCTGATGGGAACAGTTGTCCTCCACCTCAAAGGCCCCATCATGTGGTCAGGAGGCAGCAAACCAGAGAACCCCAGCAAACCAGAGAACCCCAGCCCACCCTGGACACACAGTATCAGCCAACCCTTGACTGATATGACCAAATGACACACATATAAAATCTGGATTTCTAGCTTCTTACGACAAACAAAGGATCTGGCAACACTGGGCCCACATTCAGTGCCACAGGCCACAGGTGACTTGAGTGAGGAAGGCAGCCCCTCAAACTGCCTCCAGCTCACCCCTGCCCCTGCCAGCTTAGTCTCCTGACACTGAAACAGCCCGTCAGAGCTGTCACTTGGGTTCATGCGTGTTACCTGTCTGGCCCTGGAAAGGCTCTGGAGTTGGTGGCTCCAGCTCCAGGCCAACAGGAGTGTTTAGAAGCAGCCTGCCAGGGGCTGCATGGCCGAGGAGCCACCTCTCCCTGCAGAGGAAAGGGATCCTGCCCAGTGGCAGGCGGTGAGGGCAGAGATCCCTCTTGGAGGATGGCTCCAACATGGCCTCTGGGGGACCAGAGATGCTCAGCCACCAGCTGTGGCAGAGGCAGGCGGGAGGGCAGACAAGGCTGCCACTATGGCCAGAGGCGGCAGGGCACTGGCAGTTGAGGTTGTCTGTTTATTGGCGAGGAAACTCCTCGAGAGTTAATACAGTGTGATCTTTTCCCAGAGGTGTGTAGAGGGAAGGGGGCCTAGAGGCGTCCCAGAGATAGCTTATAGCAACAGTGCTTTGACCAAGAGCTGCTGGGCACATTTCCTGTAGAAAAGACGGTGGCCCCCATCACTCCTCCTCTCCTATAGCTATCCCAGAGGGGTGAGTGGCCATCAGGCCTTCGGTGGGAGGGAGTCAGGGAGAGAAGAGACAACAGGGGAGACAGACCAGTGATGACCACGAGCGGGAGCGAGCCTCTCCCCTGGACTGGGGTGGCGGAGGAAAGTCTAAATGAGGTGTCAGACTACAGACGTTAAGGAAACGAGATGAGCACGTGCTTCGAGTGTACCCTCTTCCTACCTGACAACCAGGGACCGGAACTGCAGCCTGGGGGCAGCACTGAGAGCAGCCAACAGGGCACCCACCTGCCCCTGCATGGCCATCACAGCCCTGGTCCTGGCAAGGGAGGCTCCCTGTGGAGTAAGGGGAGACGAGGGAAACTGCTCCTGGAACTGTGAGGGAGAGAGGGATGGATTTGCCCGTCAGGCCCATTCACGTCTGACAGTATAGGCCTCTCAGTCATAAACTCAAACTTAACTGGAGACGTCAGAAACAGAGCTCCTGAGTGAGGGAAACTGAGAGCCAGGGGCGCCTGCCCAGGACAGGAAGACAGAGACTCAGAGCCAGGGCTGGGGCAGGAAGAAGCCAGGGCGGCCCAGCGCCACTTCCTGGCCTGCCTGGAAGAGCAGGACCCTGGAGGTGGAGACCCAGGCCAGAGTTCATGGCAGGGGCTGGGCAGGGTGAGGGGGCGAATGTGCTCAGCAGGCGCCCCTCCCTGTACCCTGGGACCCTATTTGCCCCTTGGGACTGCAGCATCTGCAGTCATCAGAATCAGGTTGGCCAGGGCCAAGTCACCGCTGCCTGGGGCTCGGAGAAGAAAGAAAAGACTCTTTGGCCCAGAGCAGTCAGAGGCCCCTGAGGAGGAAGAGGCCATCACCCCGAGGATCCCTCCCCTTAGTCATCTTCCTCCTGACTGATCTGAAGGGAGCAGCACGTCCCCTTCAAACAGAGCACAGCCCAGGAGCTGGTCCAGGAGGGGGCAGTCCCCAACTGGCTTCTCGTGCTGTTAGCTCTTGTCTCTGGGGGACTTGCTCTTGGCATCACGTTTGTTTCCTAGCAGTTTCAACATCTTCATGGTCTTGAACTTCCCCTTCTTCTTGCCCTCGGGTTCAGCCTCCCTCTGGAACTCTGCAGCACAGACAGGGGAGCACTTAAATAGAGAAGAGGAGTCCATCCAGGGCAGGCTAGAGCCAGTGACAGGCCTGGGCATGGCCAGCAGGGCTCAGCCAGCCCCACCACTTCCTGTGTGGAGCCTGGGAGGGACAAGCCACTCACCTTTCCCAGCCTCTGTCTCTTCATCTAGAGGATGGGGCCCATCCTCCCCCTCCCACCTCCAGTGTTTGGGGAAAGATCAGGATGGTCAGCACATGTAAGAGCTCTGCAGAATCCAGGAATTCTTTTTTTTCTGGAGACTGAGTCTCATACAGGCTGGAGTGCAATGACGCAATCTTGGCCCACTGCAACCTCCGCCTCCTGGGTTCAAGCGATTCTCCTGCCTCAGCCTCCCCAGTAGCTGGGACTACAGGAGCCCGCCACCACGCCTGGCTAATTTTTGTATTTTTAGTTGAGACGGGGTTTCACTGTGTTAGCCAGGATGGTCTCCATCTCCTGAGCTCGTGATCCCCCCTGCCTTAGCCTCCCAAAGTGCTGGGATTACAAGCATGAGCCACCGCACCCAGCCTAGAATCTGGGAATTCTGAAGCATGGCATTCATTTATCTTTTTCTTTTTTTATCTTTTTCTTTTTTTTTTTGAGACGGAGTCTCGCCCTGTCGCCCAGGCTGGAGTGGCCAGATTTCAGCTCACTGCAAGCTCTGCCTCCCGGGTTTATGCCATTCTCCTGCCTCAGCCTCCCGAGTAGCTGGGACTATAGGCACCCGCCACCTCGCCCAGCTAGTTTTTTTTTTTTTTTGTATTTTTTAGTAGAGACAGGGTTTCACCGTGTTAGCCAGGATGGTCTCGATCTCCTGACCTCATGATCCGCCCGTCTCGGCCTCCCAAAGTGCTCGGATTACAAGCTTGAGCCACCGTGCCCAGCCTTTTTTTTTTTTTTTTTTTTTTTGAGACAGAGTCTCTGTCGCCCAGGCTTGAGTGCAATGGTGCGGCCTCAGGTCACTGCAAACTCTGCCGCCTGGTTCAAGAAATTCTCCTGCCTCAGCCTCCCAAGTAGGTGGGACTACAGAAGTGTGCCACCACACCCAGCTAATTTTTGTGTTTTTAGTAGAGATGGGGTTTCACCATGTTGGGCCAGCCTGGTCTCAAACTTCTGACCTCAGGCGATGAGCCCGCCTCAGCCTCCTAAAGTGCTAGGCTTACAGGCATGAGCCACTGTGCCCGGCCCCATTTATCTTTTTTTTTTTTTTTTTTTTTTCTGAGACGCAGTCTTGCTCTGTCACCCACACTGGAGTGCAGTGGCACGATCTCAGCTCACTGCAAGCTCCGCCTCCTGGGTTCACGCCATTCTCCTGCCTCAGCCTCCCGAGTAGCTGGGACTACAGAGGCCCGCCACCACGCCTGGCTAATTTCTTGTACTTTTAATAGAGATGGGGTTTCACTGTGTTAGCCAGGATGATCTCGATCTCCTGTCCAGTACTCTTTTAACTGTTCCAAGCACCACTTGGTCCCCAGGAAGCATTGCTGTTTGGGCCCACAGACTCCAACAAAACCAGCTGCAGATCTCAAGGGGGAATGCACAGCTGAGGACAAATCCACAGTCGTCTCTGTGGGCATCAGGGCATCCCACGGCTACCCTCCAAGCCTAAGCCACAGCCTTCCTGGCTGTAGGCTGGCCTCTCTTGCTACACACAGCCCTCTCCGCAAAACAGAGGCTGCGGAGTTTGTGCACAGCCATCCTGGTAGTGCCCACTCCAATCCTCCCTTCAACCAATCCCTCCCTTCCACCCCCAATGCTGAAGTTCAACTGGGCACCAGCCTCATCCCCAGCAAGGGCCTCACCTTTCTTCTTGATCATGGCTTCCAACATCTTGTCTTCCTCTTCCTCCCTGAAATAAGCAGCAGCAGTTAGGCTGGGCACGGTGGCTCACGCCTGTAATCCCAGCACTTTGGGAAGCCAAGGTGGATCATCTGAGGTCAGGAGTTCGAGATCAGCCTGGCCAACATGGTGAAACCCTGTCTCTACTAAAAATACAAAAAGTAGCTGGATGTAGTGGCTCATGCCTGTAATCCCAGCTACTCGAGAGGCAGAAGTAGGAGATTTGCTTGAACCTGGGAGGCAGAGGTTGTAGTGATCTAAGGTTATGCCATTGCACTCCAGCCTGGGCAATAAGAGCGAAACGCTGTCTCAAAAAAAAAAAAAAAATTAAAACAGCAGCAGCTGAGAGTCCCACAGGAGGAAGGAGCAGATGCCCTCTCTGTCCACACAGGGCTGAGCAAGGGTGTACTGGGATCGCTGGTAGGAGGGCAGGGCTGGCCTGGCCCGAGGTGTGGACTGTGTCTTTGGCTCTCCAGGGAGCTGCCCCACCCATGGGGCCATGGGCCTGATCTGCTCTGGCCCTGTCTCCCAGGAGCCCCCACCCCTGGCCATGTCACCTCTGCCGGTCCTCATCCAGGCAGTTGACGATAGCGTTGCGCTGCTCAATGAGGGTCACAAGCTC